CCAGAGGTTGTTTCAGGGTTTGATCTGTGAGTTAGCCGTGCCCTGACTTACATCAGTCCAGAGGTTGTTTCAGGGTTTGATCTGTGAGATAGCCATGCCCTGACTTTGAACATCCCAGAGGTTGTTCCAGTGTTTTATAAAATTTGAATGCCCCCCAGACGACCAAACATGTATGACGATATTCTTGATAATATTAACGTTGACTTACCTTGGAGCCGTCAAGACCACGAAGACCACGTGATCCCTTCCCACCAATTGATCCCTGTCATCAAACGTGCACATTATAAAGTTAGTTTAATCTATCCATGACAATCACTGATAAACCATGACCATATATCATACCGCAGGTCCTTGAGGTCCAGACCCACCGGGAGGACCAACAGGTCCGATCGCACCCTGAAAAATAACGAACAAGAGGGGTTTGTCCTGTATTAAGATGGATATACATGGATTTCAAAAATCGTTGTCTAAAATCTGAGACCGAAAGGAATTGTGGGATGTAAGTTGTGAATACTGCAGTTTCGAGTTCTCTTTTGCTCAGCCTTAGCCTCTGTTGTGCGTTAGTCAGGTTATTCCACTTGATCACTACGCTTCTTAGTTTGGCGCGACAGACGTTTTGTCGATCAAATGAACGCACTGTTGTCCTTGCTGTTGTCGTACTCGATAGAACGCAATTTGGTGCTATGCCTTTTTAGTTTGGCGCGACAAAAGTTTTGTCAATCAAATGCACGCTTCCTTGTCCTTTTCGTTGGTAGTTTTTCCCGTCCTAGAGAAAACGGTAAAGCCGAGGACATTGAAAATGTGCTCGCGTCATCGTCTGACGTCGCCGTCCTCTCTGACGTCATGGATGTTCTGGTCTCTAGCTAATGAATCATGAACAAACTGCTCACCTGGATACCACTATCACCCGTCATTCCATTTATTCCTAGTTGTCCAGGCTGTCCCTAAAAAATAATAATAACGATAATATAACGTCCTTAGGACACATTACACAAAGTTTCAATGCGTTTACAGAATAAAAAAATGAAATGATTGTAAAATTGATTAAAAATTGTATGAGTCATAATTCGTAGGCGTTGCGGAAGAGAAGAGTCAAAAGTCCAGATTTAAATACTTCAGAATCCGTGGCTTTAAGATATTAAGGAAGAAAGTACCATAGCTTTGGATTAGCATCATATTTGCCGGCGTTTCCGGCTTAGGGCAGGGCGCTTCTGTTAGTAACATCAATTAACGATGATATATTTCAAATCAAGAGAAGAGGATCTACTTACGGGTAATCCTGCGTCTCCTCTTTCACCTGCGACTCCCTGGGCTCCTTTTCCACCCTGTAAAGAGAATAATAAGCACCTCTTAGTATGATAACAATAAAAAGTGTGGCGATAAGCACGGGTGGCGTAGCGGTGAGAGCGGTGAGAGCGCTGGATAGCACACTCTCAGTCGCATGCTATTTCAGTTGTAGCTTTATTTATATTGATATGTTTGTAATGCGCCCTAGATCATAATTGGTATATGTTGGTTGCTCAGTATAAGAATAAAGTTACTATTATTATTGATATCATTAAAAGGAATGATCATAAGATAAGAGTTTCAATCGGTAAGTTATAGAAATGAATTGGACGAAACAAACCCTTTTTCCGGGGAATCCAGGTGGACCAATTTTTCCGGAGGATCCAGCTTCACCCTAGAAGTTAAAAGAACCAACAGATAGTAAAAGAAAACGTTCAAATTAATAATAAAGAATTGATAGGCCAACAGCTCAGAGGATAAGAATTCGAGGTACAATGGACCCTTCTTCAAATTGTTTCGAACGCGTGGCTAACATGAAAAGACAAAAGAAATGCCACAAATTCCATCGAGAAAAAGTGTGAATTCTTTTGTATTTTCATGTTAGCCTCGCATTCAAGACAGTTTTTAGAAGGGTGCTTTGTACCTCTTGAACTTTGGAGCAATGTTACCTCGTTTCAGACCATGTGTTATTCCCTTGAGAATAATATTATTGTTTGAGTGGTATTTATATTCATGTGTCTTCTCATGCACAACCGTTAAATAAAGAAATGATACTCTAGGGAATGACACGTGTTCTGAAGTGAATAAACATTTTACCCAATCTAAAAAGGGTATATTTATATGAATAGTTAATAACATACTGATGTCAAATCAGTGTACTCACAGGAGGGCCCGGCAATCCAGGCCTGCCTCTTGCACCATTACGACCAGCATCTCCCTTTTTAAAAAAATCAAAAAATACTACAAAAGGGGGTTGATACACTTTTACACCTCGTTAGATCGTGYCACTCTTTGTCACACATGTGATATGCAACATGACAACCTTCCTTTTAACAAATATGATATACACCGTTACAACCTAAAAGATTGTGTTACTCTTTGTTACCCATGTGATATGCAACATGACAACCTTCCTTTTCACAAATATGATAGATACCGTGACAACCTAAAAGATTGTGTCACCTGGTTGGTCATTTCACTCTTTGTAACACATGTGATATGTAACGTGACAACCTAAAAGATTGTGTCACTCTTTGTTACCCATGACACAACGTTGCAACCTATTAAGTTGTATCATTCTTTGTAACACATGTGATATGTAACGTGACAACCTAAAAGATTGTGTCACTCTTTGTTACCCATGTGACACAACGTTGCAACCTATTAAGTTGTATCATTCT